CCAATACAGTTTTCGTCGGGGTCAATCAGTTAGTCAACTTCTGGTCTACCTGACTCATAGATGGGCGGTGGCATTGAGCGTAAGTTTGGACGTTGCGAAGGCCTTCGATAGGGTTTGGCACAAAGCGCTCCTTTCGAAGCTTCCCTTCCTATCTTCTTCTTCCCGAGAAATTTTGCAATTGGATCACCAGCTTTCAAGCTCGGAGCATCAAGGTCGTTGTAGACGGTGCATGCTCCGATGACAAGCCCATTAACGCTGGTGTTCCAGAAGGTTGCGTGCTATCACCAACGCTGTTTCTTCTGCATATCAATGATATGTTGCAAACCGGTAGCATTAATTGCTATGCAAATGACAGCACTGGTGATGCTCCATACACCGATCGTGCCAATATTTCTCAGTAAAATGTCACCAAGTACCGGAACAAACTTGTGTCGGAAGTCGAGTTTTTGCTGAACAAAGTCTCGGATTGGGGGGGGCGACTAAACCTAGTCCAGTTTTATCCTCAGAAGATACAAGTTTTCGCGTTTACCGCTAAAAAGAACCCCTTTGTCGTGTCTCCTCAGTTTCAAGGCACTGCCCTTGTTGCCACAGCCAGTATCGGAATTATCGGCGTCGACATATCGAGTGACGTGCAGTTTAATGGTCACTTGAAAGAGAAGTTCAAATTGGCTTCTAAGAAGCTTGGCATGCTCAGTAGAGTGGGACAGTATTACAAGGCGCAGATTTGGCCTCACATGGAATACTGTTCCCATCTCTGGGCTGGGGCTCCGCAGTACCAGCTCCTTCCACTTGACCGCATCCAGTGCAGAGTGGCTCGAATCGTCGACGACCGAGTCATTTCCGATCAGCTCGATTCATTGGCGCTACGAAGAGATGTTGCATGTCTTTGCATTTTCTTTCGCATTTACCACGGGGAGTGCTCTGAGGAATTGTTCCGATTAATCCTAGCCGCCAAATTTAACGAACTCACATCGCGGCAAAATTCCCGATGCCATCCATACCATCTGGATGCTTGGCGGTCCACCACTGTGCGTTTCACTAGGAGTTTTCTTCCGCGTACGACCTCTCTGTGAAATGGTTTACTACCGGCAATTTTTCCGGACCGATACGCCTTAGGGACCTTCATGAAAAGAGCTTACTCGGCAACGCACCTGCAATTCCCCTAGTGTTGCAGTTGTTCATGGATGGCGGTAGTCGCTTACCATCAGGTGAACCGTAAGCTCGTTTGCCCCCTCTCCTATAAAAATAAATAAATAATATTAACTGGCAGGACGTTTGCCGGGTTCAGCTAGTAAAGTATAATACAAAGTTTCTTCCCGCTGTCTGTACGCTTAGATATTCTAATTTACGCAACGAATTTTGATGCGGTTTTCATTTATTCATGGGAACAGTTTATATGTATAATGAATGCATATTTTATATTATTTTTAAATCTTCTGTCCGTGTGTATGTGACTAAACTCCTCCTTAATGGCTGAATTGATTTGGATAAAATTTTGTGTGTGTGTGTGATTGAGTTGATTAGATTCACAATTGGACCCGGTAGGTTGTATTGTTGTTGAGATCTAGAAATGAACCGTGCGATGCCGAGGCGGATCGCTAGTAGAGAATATACGCTTAGCGAGCGAGGCGGGAATCACAGTTTTATTTTTGAGTTGAGTCTTACACTGCCACTTTGATACGAATTTCTAAGATTTATAGTTAGTACATTAACTATGCGTAAAATATTTTTATTACCTTCACTCCTTGGTGATTGTGAATCGTAAATAAACGTGAAGAATACAAGATATTAACGCTGAGCATGATTGGAACATACAACTCAATGTTGGACGTATGAATATTTCACACTAATACATATACAATTCATTTCGGCGCTTTGCATGGAAACCTTAAAACTTCATCTAGAGCGTGTAAAACTCTACTGCTAGATTTCTTACGTTTTAGATAATTTTTAACTATTTTGGAGAATTTTACACAGCTGCATAGGCGGATATACGATCTTATTACCAGGTATTTTGCACATTTGACAATACCCTCAATTGTATTTATTGAAACATAATAAATTTATATCACCAAGGCTTACTAGGTATAGTAAGGCGTTTGGGTAGGTACCTTCATACACTGCACTACCGTGTTCCGGTCTAAAGGGAGACCAATATAACAAAACTCTTGATACCATCAACACCATCTGGATGATTGGCGGTCCACCACAGTGCGATTTACAAGAAGTTTTCATCCTCGCACAACTTCCTTGTAGAATCGACTAGCGATTTTTCCGCACCTATACAACCTTCAAAAAGAGCCTTCTGTTTTTTAAAAGGCCGGCAATGCATCTGTAATTTCTCTGGAGTTGCAGTTGTTCATGGGCGGCGGTAGTCACACGAGCATGCGGCTTAACATTACGTGAGCCGCATGCTCGTTTGCCTCCTCCACTATAACTTCTTTTTAATAATTACACGCTGAGAGGGACTCCGACTTAGTCTTCAGTGGTGATAATGCAACTGTAGGCTTCTTAGTTTTAAGTTGGTTGCAGGAGTCTGTAGGTTGTAGCATCTACTTACCATCAACTGGACTGTTACTTCACTCATCTCTTCAACGGTTCCGTGGCTCAGTGGCTTAGCATTAAGTTGCCACGCTAGGGGTAGTGGATTTGAATCGCGTACGGAACAAGTATTTGTATGGCCTACAAATAATTGTTCCAGGTTCAGATGGTTGTCCTTGTGCAATTTGTGTTTGTAACATGCCTCTGCGGTACAGGAGAAAATCCTTGTAAAAACATAGTTTCAGTTATCTTCACGCACAATCCCTGACGGGGTAGCCAGAGAGAACAGATCGCCAAGTGTCACGATCCTTACATACCTCTTTCGCTTCTTTCAGATTCATTATCTTCTTCATACATGCACGTCTAGGTATCCGAGTACTCTTGACCCTACCCTCTTCGAGCAATTTGCTCACATGGTCTTCGAAAGTTAGTCTCGGTCTACCTCGACACCTTTTAATATTAACTTTCGCGCTATATATTTTCTTCACCATTCGGTCTTCACTCATTCGCTCAACGTGCCCAAACCATCGAAGCACGCCCTTATCAATTTTTGTGATAAGGTCATCTTTCAAACCTGCCATATTGCGAATCTCTTCGTTTCGCTTTCGGTCGGCCATGGTAACGCCGCACATTTTACGAAGAGATCGCATCTCCACTGCATTCAACTTGCTTTTATGCTTCTTCTGGCATACCCAGGTTTCACTGCCGTATAACAAAGTCGGTACCAACACTGCGTTATGTATTGCAAGGCGTGCACTCTTCACTACGCCTTGCCTTTTGACTAACGCAGTCAGGGCACCATTGACTTTGTTCCCGGCAGCGACACGCCTGTCCACATCTAAATCACATCTTCCATCCCGGCTAAAAGCACTCCCCAAGTATACAATTTCATTTACTTGTTCTAGACATTCCTGATTTACCCATATTTCACACTTCGTTCTCTCTTCGTCCCTTTCAAATACCAGAACCTTAGTTTTATTAGCGTTCAAACGGAGACCTTTAATTTCACATTCCTCTTTCATACACGTGACTAATGCCTGCAGTTCTGCCTCTGATGGTGCAATAAGCACTGCATCATCAGCATACAGCAGACAATTTACTTTAATGTCACCCAATTTCACACCCAAACAGCTATCTTTCAGCTTTTGTAAACAGCTGTCGAGATACAGTATGAACAGCCAGGAAGACATGACACAACCCTGTTTTACGCCCGTTTGGACGCTAAACATGGGTGACAGGTTATGCCCTACCCGCACACAGGCTTTACAGTCACAGTAAAGAGACTGCACAGCCCTTAGCAATCGACCATCCACACCATACCCCGGCAACAGTTCCCACATTTTCTTCCTTACAACCTTATCAAATGCTTTCTCAAGATCCACAAAAGCACAGAAAATCTTCTGGTTAGCAGCCAGAAGCTTTTCCGCGATCATGCGGAGAGAAAACATTTGGTCCGTGCATCCTCTTCCAGGTCTAAATCCGCATTGTGCCTCCCATAGAAATCTTTCCGATTTCTCTTGCATCCTACGTGTCAAAATCTTCGAGTAAACTTTACTTGCTAAACTGGTCAAGCTGATCGCCCGATAGCACTCGCAGTCAAAATGTGAACCTTTACCTTTATATAAAGGCACAATGACTGCGGATCGCCAATCATCCGGGACATCCCCCGTCCGCCAGCACAAATTGCACAGCAGATGAAAGCTGTCCCAGACGCGAGGCCCACCATACTTGACCATTTCAGCAGTAACTCTGTCTAGTCCCGCAGCCTTACCACATTTCAAACTTCGAATCGCACGTTCAATCTCTTTCATACTGATGACCTCAGTGTCATCGAGGTCCGGGTCTGGCGTACCAATCACGGCGTCATCCCCGGATCCCTCACTAAGATCATCACACGCATACATTTCTCTATAAAATTCGCTCCATCGCTGCATGACGTCCGATTTTTCTGAGAGGACGTCATTAGTTCTCGAAAGCACTTTGTTCATTCTTAAGGCCGTCGCACCACTTCGGGTCCTTCCAACCTCTTTCCAGAAGAGTTTGGAGTTCTCCTTAAAGTTGTGCGACAACCTTTCGTCCGCTTCCATTCTACACCTTTCACGCACTTCCTCAATCAATGCTTTCGTGTGAACTTTCTGCAGCCTATATCTTTCTTTCATCTTCTCTCTCATATCCTTATCATTACTAGAGGCCAAGTAGTCTAACCATGCTTTCTTCTTCTTCTTTACAGCTTCTTTCACTTCATCATTCCACCATGCATCTCTTCTTTTACTACTACCTCTTTTTATTGTTCCACACACTTCTTCCGCTACACTTACCATTCCATCCCTAAGGTTCTGCCATGTTCTTTCTACACATTCGTTTCTGCCATCGATGGTGTCAAGCTTTTCGGCTACCCTCGCATGATATTTGTCCCTAGTATCCGCTTCCTGAAGCTTCCAGCTTCGTATGCGACAGACCGACTGTGGTTCTGTCACTGCCGTCCGGTAGCGCCAACCCGCGAACAGACCCCTAAATCTAGTAATCATTAGATAGTGATCCGTTCCTAGGTCAGCACCCCTGAACACTCGCGTATCCATAACCTGTTTTCGCAGTCGGTCATCCACCAGGAACAAATCGATCATACTTCTCTCATTCTTTCTTTCTCTAGTATACATATGGATTTTCTTGTGATTAAACATAGTGTTTGTCACAAGAAGACCCTTTTCCTTGCATACCGCCAGTATAAGCTTGCCAGCATCGTTAACCCTTTCATCGCCCAACTTTCCAAGTACCGACTCGTACCCTGGTCGAGCGGTACCAACCCATCCATTTAAATCACCACATACAACAATTCTTTCGTTTCCCCTAGCCAAATCTAGAACTTCTCTTACATTCTCCCAAAACTCCTCCAGCTCAGCCCTGGACGACGAAGCTACCGGCGCATAAACAGCCAAAAGGAATAACTTCGTCAGTCCCAATTTAAAGCGAACCCAGAGAAGTCTTGAGTTCACAAACTTATATTCTGTCATAACATCGACCAACCGAGAAGACAGCAGCACCCCCACTCCCTGGCAGGCGTTCTCGCTCTCCGGGACTCCGAACCATAGAGCTAACGCCCCGCCAGGGAGCTCTTCAGTACCACTGCCCTTCCGTTTGGTCTCCGACATACACACGACATCTAATTCTCTTTCTTTCATTATTTCGATCAACTCATTCGTCTTATCTCTCATGCCTCCTCTAACATTCCACATGCCAACTCTGCACTCTGTCCTCCACCTTCCGCCGTGTCGGGCTGTGCGTGACGGGTGGCGGTCCCCATCGCCGCTTTGCGCGCTGCATTCCACACCAACGGGGACGAGCTGGTGTGCGTCGCCTTGGGGGGACGCCCTAACTCTCGTTGTCATGGGTGTAACATGTATAAATAAAAAATTCATCTATCGCAGACCAAAAAATCCTTTGGATTACAGGATATGAATAAAAAATATGATCTGCAACACTAGATGTAGGCATAATAGTTTTTTTCTTTATAACTGAAGTAGGAAAACTTGTCTCTCGGAACTTTTTTTAAACACGTTTCTATTAAAAAATCGTTCGCTTCGTACATTTTAATCGGTTTTAAATGGTGCCGACAGGACTTCCGCTCTACGTTAAAGTAATTTTAAACTTTGCTGCTAGAGCAGAGAGCTTAATATTGCATTAACTGCTTCGTTATTTGAGCCTGAATTTTCAATTTAACGCTTACGGTGACAGATAATGGCTTCGTAGTTATTTAAATGAGGAATTCGGTAGGATTTCGTGAAATTGTAAGTGCGTTATAAAATGACTCGTTAGGAAAATGTATTATTTTAAACAGCGCTTGAATTATTTCGGTTGAGTTGTTGACGTTAATATTTCAATAATTTTCGTTAATGTAATAACCGCTATCGTTACAGCCCAATAAGGCGACACCGCGAAAAAATGCACCTTCTTTCATCGAATAGTATAGGAGTATGACACGACTAACGAAACTGGAATTTTTATACAGGTAAATTCATGTCTTCATCTTGAATTTGCTTGTTCAAAAACACGATTGTAAAATTTTGACTCGATCGTAATTATTTGCGAAATCACCTCCAAAAAATCACTATAGTTGAAATTACAACGAAATTACTTAATCTATATTGAGAATCACTCAAATACATTCATAACATCAATATTCGTAATTTACTTGCTTATTATTTTGATTACTAAAATCAATAATTTTTTTAAATTATTTTAAGATTCTAAGCGATTTCTAAGCGATCTGAATCGTCGCGGACGCTACGCAATTTTAGACCTTATGACGGCGTTTTTGAAGTTTTTATAGAAATTATGCTTTACTCGGGTCAGTCCGGCGATAGCCCGCTTCAATGGTTTTCGATGTGTCGCCTTAAAGTCCACTACAAAACATAAGCCATATATTGCCTCATAGGGGAGATATTTGCTATAGTTACCGTTATAGTCTATTAAATATTTGCATTTTTGGACCCATTTGGCAAGCGGGTTGTCAACCGCAGTTTTTTTATTTATAGTCGTTATCAGGAAGACGCCGCTGCCCATCTCCTGATTAGTTTGCCTCTTACGACACCCACGGAATGATATGATGTAGTGGATATTCTTACAGCATCACTAAACGGTAATGTTATTGAATTGAAATTGATGTGTTTCATATTTGAATCATTTGTTGAGACTAATTTTCATCAGCTTCCTTCTTCTTCATCATGACCCCTTAAATCTATTGATAGATATGGGTTTTGTTTACCCGTCGCCGATCTAAGTATTTAACGCCTTGTGTAATCGAACAAGTTTCTTTAAAAAAAACTATCAGTCGTAAGAATGCACGTCAAACATTTTTGCTTCAAAAACTTATAAACATTATTTTTGGGTTGTTACGATATATTTTTAGGAAGTACCTATTTTTATTTGTAATAATTTTTATCAACGTATTAATACTTATAATAATGAAATTTTCATTTATTGCGCTGTTTTTCATGAAAAATAATGATTATTGTCTCTGTAATACAAAGAAATTTCTAAACACATCATCATCATCATCATCATTACAGCCTTTCATAAGTCCACTGCTGAACATAGGCTTCCCCCAAGTTAGTTAGCTAGAAATTGCTTGTACAAAGAGTGGCTCACTACAGTAGTCGAATGGCGAATTAGAAACTACGACTACCTAAGTTTCGAGCCCGCACCTTTGGTAATAAATAAAATATGCCATGTAGTGGCGATGTAAGAATATCCACTTCTCCATATGGTCCCGTGGGTGTCGTAAGATGTCACAGAGCAAGAGCTAACCTCCAGAATCTCCCTAATCATCATCATCATTACAGCTTTCCATAAGTCCACTGCTAAACATAGGCCTCCCCCAAGGAATGCCACAAAGCACGGTTACTCAGGTTCTACTGCGGATATCCTCATTTCTAAGTTTATCACGCAGAAAAAACCCCGAGCATCACTGGCAACACGCACTGGTTGTACAATTTCGTTTTAAGGTTTTGAGGTATGTCTGACGAGAAGATGTGTCTTAGTTTCCCGAACGCTGCCCAGTCGAGTTGAATCCATCGATTGAACTCTCGGTCGAAGTTGGACTTACCTAGTCGGACTATTTGTCCCAGGTAAACATACTCGTCAACAACTTCGACCTTAGTGCTCCCAACAACTACCGGCATAGGTGTGACATGGACATTAAACATGATCTTTGTTTTGTCCATATTCATCTTAAGACCTATCCGTTGGGAGACACTATTCAGGTCATTGAGCATGGTGCTTAGTTCCTCCAGCGATTCTGCCATAAGGACTATATCGTCGGCAAATCGAAGGTGAGAGATGTACTCGCCATTGATGTTAATACCGTATCCTTTCCAGTCCAGAAGTTTGAAAACGTCTTCCGGTCGAAGATGGCTATCCGAGTACAGAACCAGAATATGAAACCTATCCAATTGCAGCGAGGTGTAATACAGGGTAAACACATCAATTTTATAAAATTTAATCAATTGGATTTTCAACATTAATTTTATCAAAGTTATGTATCTGAGCGGGACGGTCACGCAAATTCAGTGCCCAATGTTCTTAACAGAAACAGAAACAGAAACAGAAACAGAAACTTTTTTATTCAATATAGATTATAAATAATACTTATTGAAAGTCATTCTTTTGTTTGATTACCACTGGTTCGGAAAAAACCTCTGTCCTGGGAAGAACCAGAAAGAAACCCAGCGGGACTTTTTTTTTAAATAACAGCTTACAATCATGATGTTACACAAATTAACAACACAACAAATTAGAAATAGCTTGGTAGCGATCACCTCATTTCCAGGGGTTATTATCATCCATAAATTCCTTAATATTATAATAACCCTTTTTATACAAACTTAGTTTAATAAAGTTTTTGAACTTTGAACAGGCCAAACTTTGTATATTTTCTGGAATTTTGTTGTAAAAGCGTATACATCGCCCCAAGAATGAATTACTGACTCGATGGAGTCGAGTAACTGGTACTACTAGCTTGTGTCTGTTCCTAGTATTTACAGAATGAATATCACTTATTTTTATAAAACTACTTTTATTTTTGTGTACGTACATTAAATTTTCATAAATGTATTGAGAGGCCAAAGTTAATATATTAATTTCCTTAAATTTTTGTCGCAGCGACTCTTTAGGCTTTAAATCATAAATTGCTCTTATGGCCCTCTTCTGCAAAACAAATATAATTTCTGTGTCAGCTGCGTGTCCCCATAGCAAAATACCATACGACATTATGCTATGGAAGTAGCTGAAGTAAACTAGTCTAGCTGTTTCAACACTGGTTAGACTTCTAATCTTTTTTACAGCATATGCTGCAGAACTAAGTCTGCTTGCTAGTTTTGATATATGGGGGCTCCATTGAAGCTTCGCGTCTAGTGTGATTCCAAGAAAAATGGTGGTATCTACAAGACTCAGTTTCTCCCCATTTAAAATTACATTAGTATTTAATTGTTTGACATTTGGAGTCACGAATTTCATACATTTTGTTTTAGTGCCATTTAAATGCAAATTATTAACATCGAACCAATTTACTAATTTAGATATAGCATTATTTACTTCGTCATATTTTAGTAACTGTCGACTTAATTTGAAAATTAAAGAAGTGTCATCTGCAAATAATACTATATCATGGTTATCCCCTACTATGTAAGGTAAGTCATTAATGTATACAAGAAACAGAAAGGGGCCGAGAATTGAGCCTTGAGGCACGCCCATTTGTACCATCGATCCGGAAGAGCTCATATTGTTAATGACAACTTTTTGCGTTCTCTTACTTAAATATGAAATAATTAATTTAAGGGCATCACTTCTTACACCGTAGTGTTGAAGTTTCCTGATTAATGTTTCATGGTGAACACAATCGAAGGCCTTGGATAGGTCACAAAATATACCCAAAGCATCCTGTGAATTCTCCCATGCATTAAAGATATATTTAATCAGCTCAACACCGGCATCAGTTGTCGAGCGACCCCTTGTGAAACCAAATTGATTTTTATGAAGTAAATTATTTATATTAAAAAAATTTAACATTTGATCAAGAACAATTTTTTCAAAAATCTTACTAAGTGTTGGTAGTACAGAAATAGGTCTAAAATTGGCGGGGTCTAATGTACTACCAGATTTAAATAAAGGTATTACTTTACTATGCTTCATTAAATCAGGAAACACACCAGATTCGATACTAGTATTAAAAATAATAGCTAAATGAGGCGCGATTGTATCTATTATA